AACGATCTGGATATCGAGCCAATGCATAACCAGATCCTTATTACTGCACATAAATTCTTTGAAGGAATGAAGAATTCGCCGTACGTTGCAATACGTAACATTATAGATTATGATCCCACGGTTGGAAATGTGGTGAAACACCGTTGATCAATCCATTACGAGATGATGATGAGACGGAAGATGGTGATTTTATACATATTGTACATATTTTATTTTATTTACGTTTCTCTCCCTGATCAAAGCAGGAGCTCTGGTTTTTGTTTTTCCCCTTGTAAAGAGGGTAGAGACTTTACAACTTATTTACTCAAGACTTTTACATTTGTTTTTACTACTTTATTATTTTAATTACTCAAGTTTAATTTCTCCTCGTACTTAAAACTGTTCAATTATGCTTTATCATATGACTTCTGCGGGCGAATCCGAATTCTTCATTACCGCACGCACCCGATTGGATATCTGATTTCACGTGACCAGCTCTCCAAGTGCTGCGGACTCTTACCTATTATATTATGCAGGAGAACACAGTTATTAATAGAGATATAAATTCCCGCAGAGACATCGAAGATACAATAGATAAATTCACCCATAGAATTCACGAAGCACTCGACAAATCAAAATCGATCAATCACACAGAAAAATTCACTCTCCCTGCGTACATCCTTAACAAGATTAAAGAAAAGAACAGGCTTCGAAAAATTTATCATAGGACCCCATCGATAACTATAACTTCAATCAAGCTAACAGAACAGTTAAGAAACTCATCAACGATTATAAAGACAACAGTTGGAATAACTTTATTAGCAGTCTATCACATATCAATTACTCCGTGTGGAAAATTGCTAAAGCTGTTAGAAGATATAAGGATGAAATCAAACCTATTAATTACAATAATCAAGTTGTAATTAATCCAAAAGATATGGCAAATGCATTTGCAAAATTATATGAAAATCAATTCACTGTCAATCATTTTGTTAACGCAGATGATTCCGCAGTGCTTGACCACGTGACCCAGCAGTTGGGAAAATTTTAAGAATCAGACCCGAAAATTAAAATCAAGAAAAGCTGCCGGTTGTGACCAAATTACTAAAAAAACCCTTCAAAATGTACCAAGAAAAGCCATCCTACAACTTTATCAAATTTTCAGTGCTTGCCTGCATTTAGTGTTTTTTCCTAAACAATGGAAGCATGCCATTATTATTATCATCTTGAAGAAACCTGGGATAAGTGGATCTTCAACGTCAGACTATAGACCCATCAGCTTAATTTCAACTGTTGGCAAACGTTTTCAAAGATTAGTTATCACTAGGCTTACTAAATTCGCAGAAGACATCAATATATAATCAAAGAAAATCAATTTGGATTTAGGCATGGTTTTAGCACCACCCAACAAGTCATAAGAATAACTGAAATCGTCGGAGAAGCCTTCAATAAAAACGAAACTCTTGCTAGCATCTTCATTGATATGGAAAAACCGTTTTGATAAGGTTTGGCACCCAGGGCTCCTTATCAAACTTATTGGTAACAAATTTCCACCTGGATTAATCCTCCTAATTTTAGGTTTTTTTGGAAAACAGAACTTTTAAAGTATCTAACGAGCTATCTAATATCAGTGTAATGAAAGCAGGTATCCCTCAGGGCTCGTATGTTTCGCCTTTTCTTTTTAACATCTACGAAAAATGATCTTCCCAGCCACAAAAATGCCATTATCGCCTGCTATTCGCAGAAGACATCAATATATAATCAAAGAACATCAATTTGGATTTAGGCATGGTTTTGGCACCACCCAACAAGTCATAAGAATAACTGAAATCGTCGGAGAAGCCTTCAATAAAAAAGAAACTGTTGCTGGCATCTTCATTGATATGAAAAAAAAAACCGTTTAATGAGGTTTGGCACCCAGGGCTCCTTATCAAACTTATCGGTAACAAATTTCCACCTGGATTAATCCTCCTAATTTTAGGTTTTTTGGAAAACAGAACTTTACAAGTATTTAACGAGCTATCTAATATCAGTGTAATGAAAGCAGGTATCCCTCAGGGCTCGTATGTTTCGCCTTTTCTTTTTAACATCTACGAAAAATGATCTTCCCAGCCACAAAAATGCCATTATCGCCTGCTATTCAGACGATACTGCAATTGTCAGCAAATCCATCAATCCGCAAAGAGCCTTCCAAAATTCAATAGACTATATCTTCCCATGATTTAACGCTGGGAAAATTAAAATCCACTACAATATATTTCCAAAAGAACCCTTCCAGAAGACATCTCAACAATGTCACAATTAATAATATCTCCATCCCAAATGAAATATTCAGGCGTTTATCTCGATCAAAAACCTTCAAAAACCATATAGAAAATATCTGTAAAAAAGACAACCAAGCAGAAGGCAGTATCTCTGCACTTATATGGAGAAATTCTAAATTTAGTCTCGCTATAAGAAGAGTTATTTATCTACAAGCCGCCTACCCGATTTTATTGTATGCTTCTCCAGCGTGGGCTGCAATTGCAAGAACTCACCGCGGAAAAATGCAAAGAATTCAAAGCAAGCACTTTGGTTCATATGAAACAGCACTCTTCACAATAACTTAAAAATTAAACCCACGGACTCTGAAATTCTGAAAGCTTCTCATAACGTTTTCACGAAATGTAACAATCACCCTAAGAATATCATCAAAAAACTAGAAAATTACGATTTCACAATTGAACAACGCCCGCACTATTCACCATAATAGTCAGTGGTAATGCATATATGTTCGTTTTCTTCTTATTTAGCCGAGATTTTACTTCATTTTCTTTACTTATAATTTTACTTATCAAATTACAAAGCGCTATGGAGTTTGTTCCTGCCAAAGCAGGTAAACTTCGTGTGTAAATAGTTCTTACTCTTGTGAATGTACTGCAAATTGTGCTTTTCATAATTTTACTTCATGCCAATAGTTGCTTATCAGAAGAATCATTTTTATGAAATTTTAAAAATGCCTTACAATACATTCTGCAAGAGAGATGGCGCCACCAGAGCTCCAGTCAATTAAAATGCTTTTCATCTCTACTAACAGATGGCGCCACACGGGCGCCTAATTTCTTCAAAGTTTACTTATTATACGGACGGCGGCACAGGAGCCTCCGTCGCTAGTAATCTGAGTTCTAGCACAGCATATGCACGAGTAATTTCCATATTATTGGATACAATTTATTCGATTCTTCACTCATTTAAAAGTCAAGTATAATATATGGTAAAGGCCGTTAATGGCCGATTGCCTCTAAGTGATAAGACATAGACACAGGACTCTTAACTATCGGCTCATTCAGAGCTTCGACACCGACAGTGATGGACTGCTGCAGTTTTCACTGCTACCTGACTTTGCCATTTTGCTGAGATAACTGCATGCTTATGCCATACCATAAGTTGATTGCACGTTTACCTGCTATTGCTTTGAACTAGATATGCCTTTTTACTGTAAATTATTATTGCCTGATTTTATGCCTGATGTTATTTATGCCTAATTATTTTCTCGCCGTGCCATGCCGAGTTAGACAGACCGATTTTACTGTAAGTTTATCGCATAATGCTTATCTTAGGTTGATCAAATGCCGTGTTTACCTTCAAGACTGGTTGCCTTACTTTATGCTTGAAGAAAATTGGCATGCTTATTGATTATGACTTATGCCTACCTCACTGCTATCTATGCTGTATATATGGACTTAAGCTCTGATTGCATCTAAGGTAACCAGTGTGTTTAATATTTATGTTTTCGGCTATGGGTGTTGATACTCTAAGCATCATCTCTTTTTATTACCGCGAATGGCCAAGAACATTAGTTTGATTTACTAGTCAAGACTCTTAGTAGTAGATACTAGTCGAAGATCTAAGTTCAAAGCCTACGGGACATTTAACTGTCAACACATTTAGTCAACAGGACATTAAACCGACAGTGACGTGTAGATGACACGTACCCAATAATTATTTAAACTTGCTATCAATTACAAAATTTCTCCACTTCTCTATAAGTTCAATATGTAAGTCATTTTTTTCACGTATCAGTAAAATTCATCTTTGATTTTTAAAGATGCCATAGGTGCTTTTAATTCTTAATTCTGTAATTTATCATAGTTTGATATATATTGTGCTGTTTGGTGTATATTGACCAAATTGGAAAAGCGTTGAAATCTGTCGTCAGGGAATATGAATTCATTTTCGAAAGGAAATTTTTTTTCCTTTCGAAATTTTTGAAATTTTTTTATTTAAATTATTTTTTATTTTAAATTAAAAAAAATTTTTTTGAATATTTTTAGCCAAGTACGACGGTCATTATCGGTTTAATTGTCTTGTCGGCTAACTGTCCGTGTCGGCAAAATAGTCTGTCGGCGAAGTGTTGTTTTCGGCTGAATGTCCTGTCAGCTAAGTGTCGGCTAAGTGTTCGTGTCGGCTGAGTGTCCATGTTGGCTAAATGTCCTGTCGGCTAACTGGTGTCGGTTAACCGGTAAGTGGCTGTCGGCTAAGAGTGTCCGCGACCGGCACAACTGCCTGTTATAGCAGTCCTATATACAAACTTTCAACGTTCTGAGGCTACGCGTTTTTGAGTTGTACGAGATACGTACGTACTAACGTCACGGAAAAAATTTCTTCTGAATCCATTTTAAATCAATTTTATAATCCGTTTTGAAAAAAAAAATCTTCTGTCCTTACGTACAGATGTCACGCAAATAACATCGATAAATTGCATCTGATAGCGGTCAAAATAGATATTTTCGTTGAAATATGATACCCGGAATTTTTTCTTGATTACAATAATTTTTTACTTCCTACAAGGAAGGAAAAAGAGCTATTTTATTGCTGCTGATCCAAACGTAACAAAAAGAAGACATTAAATACTTAAAATCAATTACACCTTTCTAGGACAGCCTGTATAGCCTTTGCATCCATACATATATTCTTTATCTCTTATTACTCTAAAGTTTTCTTGGAATGAAAGGATAAATTACTACAATTGTCATTCATACCGTCGTTGAGATCCTTTGCAAACTGCTTTCTTCCTCAATCGTTTCCATCTCATCATCTGGAGCTTGCTTATCATCTTCCCCCTCCTCTTCCTCCTCGGCTTCCTTCCTTTCCGCTTCACATTTTTCATTTTCCGCCTGTTCTTTCTTCAAAATGTCAACCCAATATTCATAATTCTCTCGAAGATGAACGGTCTGAAGGCAGCACACTTTTCGGTTCCGGAGTGGTCTGCCACCATCAGCAGCGGCTGGAATAATGCGAGAACCGATAAGTACCCAATCAAGGAAGCATTAAGTCTTTTATTGTAATAAAAACAGCCAGGAAATGCACATATTTTTATACATGGATAATATTAACATTACATGAAATATGTGATATTAAATTATACAGTGATTAACTTGAATCTTAGCACATGAACAATTTTTAAAACGATGGCTCATTAAACATTCCTCGAAACTGTTTGCTCATTAAGTATTAATCGAAGCAGCCAAATAAATCAATCATTCAGCCGCTTCATTGCTTAGAAACTTGTGTTTCGTTTTTTACAACTAACTATATAAATGTGTTGAAGATTTATGAACCATCCGCTATAATATTAAAACATGAACAAGTAATATAAAAAAAATTCTTTTTTTTTAATTCGTGCTTAGAAATTCCAACAAAAAGTTTTAATGATCATTATTTGTAAGTCTCGTAATATATTTAAAAACAGCATATCTCTAGGTCCGATAAACAGGAATAAATAAGTAGGAATTGACTTTAATATGTGAAAAAACTATTAACATCAAGTGTCATCCACTACAAATTAAAAAAAAAAAAAAAAAAAAAAAAGAACTTGAGTGGATGAATAAATAGTATTTTATTAAGGATTCAAAGTTTGAACAAGATATAGGGAGAGTGTGAGCTACTAGTAGGAATTTAATTAAAAAAAGCTGTAATTATTTTAATGTTTTGTCACCGCGTATTTATTATTAGAAATAGTGGAAGTTCTTTTATAAAAGAAATTCATTGTTATGCACGTCGCATTGGTTACGGTAATATGTGTGTGTTTTATTATATATATTCTGCACTATTGATTTTACGCTTCATGAGCGTTAATGATTCATGGAATTAGGCTAATAAATTATTTGCTCATTATTGCCTTTTTTTTTATTCTTCTTAGTTTGAAACCTGTAAAGTTTGTTTAAAACCTGTAAAGTTGGTTTTCCTTTAGACTTTGAGTTCGCCAGAAAAGCAGATTCACAGGCTAACATAGCAATCTTGGTGAATTAGTTGCATTGCTACCACGGCTTCTGATATAAATTCGCATTGCTTGTTATTAGGAATTGACTTTAATATGTAAAAAAATTGTATTAACTTGAAATATCATCCACTAAAAGTTTAAAAAAATGTATTTGAACTTGAGTGGATGAATAAAAAGTATTTTATTATTTAAATATATTATTTTTATTATTTAATTAATTTTAATATTTTTTATTATTTAAATTTATTTTATTTTTATATTTATATCTTTTTATAATTTTTTAATTATTTAACTATCTATATTCTTATTCCATTATATTATTATTTTATTATTTCATTATATTATTATTCCAAAGGAGCTTTGTCCTTGAAGGACTATTGTTTTCGTTTTGCAATTTTGCGTTGAATCACTATAAATGTCCGTTTCACTTTTCAAGCTGTTGCCACCAAATGTTAGAGTTTTGCATTATATTTGAAGAAATTAAATAATAAAAAAGGCTGCATAAATGTAAGTCTATTTCTCGTATTGTGATAAAACAACGGTACCTAGAGCCATCGAATTTTGAATGACGTAAACTTCCTACGAATATGGGCATGTGGAAGACCAAATTTAAAATTTGGAATTTGTTTTATGATCGATTTCATATTTTGTAAAACTTAAACGAATTTTTGAGTAATAAACTCAACGATTTAAAAGCGAGCAATGGCAACACTCTAATCCTTTTTATCTCAGAGCGCAGAACAGTGTATCGGAAATCCTAAAGATATGCTCATTTTAAAATTATTTTGCGGCATTGCTACTGAACTCAATTTTATGGTTTAAGTGCAAAGAACATGATATTTAATAAATAAAGGTAACACACAAAACTTTAAAGAAACGCTCCTTTGGACGTAATTTCAAATCTGAAACATTTCAGATTTTATTATTTTTATTTAAATTTTGTATTTTTTATTATTTAAAGTATTTTATTATTATTAGAGTATTTTATTAACGACTGAAAATTTGAACAAGATATAGGGAGAGTAACAGTTAATAGTATGAATTTAAAAAACGGTGAAGGAAGTGAAGAGGGATAGGTATTTATACTTTATGCAGTTTTTGATGTCAGTTTGCTGGCTGTCGCATGTAAATTATTTCATTTACGAAGAACTAAAGTGCTAAAATAGAATTTATAAACTAACGGAATTTGAGAAATTAATAACTTTAATAAAAGATAAATAAAACTAATGTATTGAACTGTGGTTAGCAAACAATTTACACATATAATCTTACCACTTCGAACGCTGCTGTCACTATCGACTACATCTTCTTCTACGAATTTAACAGTTGAGGATTCCGTTTGATCGGTATTATCTGCAATACAAATTTGTAGAAAAACAAATCAGAACTTTTTAAAGATTATAAGTTAAAGATTTTGAATTATAAAGTTAAAAAATGAAATTTTGGAACTTGCATTCTTCTTAACTGTTACTTAAAAATTAATTTTAAGTTAAAAAGGGAGGACAAATGATATTTAGGAAGAATAAAATTTTGTTTATAACATCATTTTCTTAATTTTTTCATGCAGGTTTCGAAAAATGAAACAATACTGCCAATGATCATACATGTATCATAAAATGTTAAGATGGATAACTAATATCAATAATTAATTTTTATTTGCATCTAAAGTAGATTACAGCATGACTATTACAAAAAAGGATTATTCGAAATCTGTCACATACAAAATTATATTATAACTCAACAAAGATTATTCCTGATTCATCCCAAACAAGAAAACAGTCACATTAAAGTCGCATATTGTCTTTGTGAGTGATGGAATGTTGCGTATTTTAAGTCTTCTTCAGATGAAAGTTACGTTCAGAATTCTTATTTAAACTGAACATGCATTCATTTGTTAGAAGTACTTGGGTACAGTGATCTTGCCTCGATCAAGATTGAAGATCTCATCAAATTAAATGCTCTCTAGAATGAAACAGGACACTACGCAAGGATAATATAGTGTAAAATCGTACTCAAATATTCAATAAGCAGTAAGTATAGTTTCGACTAGTGGCTATTAAGTGGTCCCTAGTCAGCTGGGCAACGGTTTCTTCATGCAGTTACTCTTGGATGATCTTAACCAGCAAGATGATTAACTGTTCCCATGCTTAAAAATAAAAAAATTGCAAAGAATATTCAGTGTTATGGATATGTTCAATAATGTTTGATATGCTTTGAGTCTACTCGACCGTTCACAACTTCTGGCCTTCATCTAAACGATGTCTTTGAGGCACAATCAACAACATCTGACCACGTTCAAACTTGCAAAATGGCATTTAACCAGTGATCTTGACTCCGTCGACATTAATGACCACACCAAATTAAACGCTGTCAAGTGGACGAAACATGAAGCAGAACACTATGCAGGTATAATATGGTATAAAATCTTCGAAAAGCAATAAATATGGTTGCGGCTAGTGGTTATTGAGTGGTCCTTAGACAGTTGCTTGAGAACGCGGTTCGTTTATTGCATCAGTGAGAAATAGCGGTCTTCAGATGATGCAGTTGAACTTCGACGGTCTTAATCAGCAAGATGACTAACTGTTCCCTTGACTGAAAAGCAAATACTGCTAGGAATATTCAGTTCTCTGGATATGTCCAATAATGTTTGATATGCTTCGAGTCGCCTATTCGACCGTTAACAACTTCTGGCCTTCATCTAAACGATGTCTTGGAGGCACAATCAACAACATCTGACCACGTTCAAACTTGCAAAATGGCATTTAACCAGGGATCTTGACTCCGTCGACATTAATGACCACAGCAAATAAAACACTCAAGTGGACGAAACATGAAGTAGAACACTATGCACGTATAATACGGTATAAAATATAAGAAAAGCAATAAATATCGTTGCGGCTAGGGGCTATTGAGTGGTCTCTAGTAACGGTTCCTTCATGCTATCAGTGAAAATTGACGGACTTCATATGCTGCAGTTTAAGAAACAAATCTTGCTGAGGAATATTCAGATCTCTAGATAAGTTCAGTATACTTTGAGTCTATTCTACCTTTCACCTACATTTCAGATATGCTTTCAAACTGTTCGACCCTTCACGAATTTGGTGTCTTGCAGGTACAATTAACAAAACCTGACCACGTTCAAACTTGCAATATGGCATTTAACCAAGTTTTTAGCGTAACGTCAATCATGTTTGCCTGATTATTTGATCGAATTGGTCTTGTTTGCAAATTCTGTGCGTAAACACACGAGGAGAAGAAGGGTTTTGTGTTCACTAGCATATAATCTAATTATATGTGGCAGAATTTTCATTAGTTTTCGTAAAATTAATATCAATCTTTTCATTGTTTTCTTAAATTTGGAACATAGGTGTAAAATAAGCAATGATAATCTTAATTTTAATAGGCTATTACTGAAAACTCTTGAAATACTGCAAGAGTTAATAATTTATGCAAGAAACGCATTCAATTTATAGAATTACTGTGACGTCGCAAAAAATTAAGAATTAACGATTTCCTTTCAAGATCAGGAAATTTAAACAAGTCGACTCGCAAAATAAATACATTATTAGTCGCATACTACTTAGAGATTAGAAGACGACTGTTATTTTGTCTAATTTATTCGTAATGATGAAGAAGAACTTTTCAGATTAGTTCCCAGAATTTAGTAAGTAACACGCTAGAAAATTCGATTTCCGTTACAAAGAAGCCCAGATGAAATGGTTTTGCGCTATTGCTATAAACATATTATTTTAAAAAAATCTATATCCTAATTTATTATTTTTTGATTAGTACAAATGCAAATAACAATTGCACATAACATATTATTCTATTACATATCATTAGACTAGTTTGTACTGATATAAGGTATTTTCTCCCTCCTTTCTGTATGCCTTGGTGGTGGTAATGGTAGCACACTCGGCGCGTATTCGAGAGGGCCAGGTTCGAGTCTCTGCAACTGCTCATTTTTCACGTGTCTTGCTCCAAAAAAAAATCCTAATATCTCAACAGTGGCACCCAAACTGAAAAGAAGGTAGTGGATGATGATTCTTCCCCACCAAAATTTGGCGATCAGGTCACCTAATTCCCACTCGCCCTTTAAAAGGGAGAGTATATAAGATATTTTCTTCCCGCTTTTTAGTCGAGCGGTGAGGTCGCTGAACACTGGTAGTTCGGTCCGAGGTTCGAATCCCGCGAACGGGCTGCCTGCATGAGCGTTTTCGTGGTTTTCTCCATTTGTAACGTGTATACGAGCCAGTTCCCCTTAGAGAGTCCTCCACGAAGGCATCCCTCCCTTAAGGCAAATAGACCTCGAGTGCTTTGCTGTAATCTAATAAAACCGAACGAATCTTCCCACGTTTTGTGTGGTGGTGTAGCGGTAGCACATTCGACGCATATTCGATAGGTCTAGGTTCGAGCCCCAGAGAGGGCAATTCTAATTTTTCACGTTTCCCGCTAAAAAAAAATATAGTAATGATTCTACAGTTGCTCCCGGACAATAGTAATGATTCTACAGTGGCTACAAAATCATCATCCACATCACCACCAGGATTTGGCAATTGGGTCTCCTAATTCCCAGTCGCACTTTAAAATGGGGAGCATATAAAGCATTTTCTCCCCCCCCCTTCTGCATGCTTTGGTGGTGTAACTATAGCACACTCTGTTCTTTTTCGAGACGTTTAAGTTCGAATTTTGGTGATGGTATTGCTCATTGTTCACGTCTCTTGCTCCAAAAAAGTTCTAAAGTCTCTACAAAGTCATAAAAACCTTTTAAAAAATCATTTGGTTAGCAGCTGTAGGCTGTTTACAACAAGGAACTCATATTTATTCCAATTACAAATTTTTCATAAATTCTTTTGTCATTGTTTTGTTGGAATATCTGGCGGAACAAAATTAGCAGTGAAAAATTACGAACAAGATCTAAGGCTAATTCTTGAACTGTAATTTGCTGCAAATAAATAAGCTTTACGTTTGTTTGCTTTGTTTACGTCACAGTCTTGGTAATTCCTTTCCCTTATTGCAAGTGAAGCTGCTTCTAATGCTTCCTGCGACGTCTGAGGATTTTTACAATGCAACATCCAAATAATAATCCCCTCCATCACATTAACGCTCCATTGGTCTTGATATCTCTTTTTCCTCTCCCTAACTTGTTGATGGAAATGCTTTGCTCTTTACTAACTACTTTCAGATTTTCAAGTAAAAAAGATCCAACTACGCTTCAGGAAACAAAGTTTAATATTCATTGATCATCGTAAAGCTCTGCATTTTTTATTATCTTTCCATACTAAGCGCATACTAATCGTCTTTATAATTCTCGAGAAACTTAGTTGCGTAAGTTGTTTGAAGGAAATCCAATTTTAATCCGATAGACGTTTGCTAATGCTTGAAACGGCAAAAGTAACTTTTTTCGGGGAGAGGGGGGAGGATCTTAATAAGTTGCGAAATAACACTTCACAGAGCTATTTAAAGGGTCCTCACTGTTTTGCACAGCCGGTTACAAACTGTTTCACAAAATCTGATTTATATCATGATGCACAGAAAAAAAAATTCGACAGTAAATTTATTATAAATAATGCCAAGTTCCAAGAAAATGCTAATCCGTCCGGCCTTTATTTTCAATGTTAAACGTGCTTTTAATTCAGAAAGAATATATAAGCGATAAGCGATGGAGGACGTGGGCACTGTCCCTTTACCATTTGGGTTAATCAGTACAGCACCACGTCCACTTTTATCTTGCATTTCATATTACATTATATATTACGATTGCACATTGCATTATATACTACATATCAAATTAATACCTTAACCTAACATTACATTAACTTCACATCAATATAGTACATTCAAATTATTTCCTAATAAACCCTATGTTGGTAGATTATAAAAGGTTATTTTGCACAGGATTCGCATTAGACACAGGATACATATTATATTAGCATTATAGTGAGATAGTGACCGAGGACGTGGCCACCCCCCCTTTACTATTAAGTTAATTTATACTGGGTCACGTCCGCCCTTACATTATCATTATAGTGATAGTGACGGAGGACGTGGCCACCACCCCTTTACTATAAAGTTAATTAGCATATAGGGCCACGTCCGCCCTTATACAGAGTAAAGCCAGAGAGGCCACATGGAAGGCTTGCACAAGGCGCCCATACCCAACGCCTGGTCCATCCGGTTGGCAGTTCCGCGAACCAAATGCCAAGAAATTAAGTACATTATCACATTCCTCAGATATACGCGCAAAAAACTTAATTTTTCTACTAGTTAGCTAGTAATAGTCTTTACACGGCGCAAATTATATCCATTTTTCAGAATTTAATTTACCGAGGCGTTTTAACGGAAAGGAAGAG